GTCCAACCCTTTAGAACTCTTTCAGATAACTTCTGATTAGTCAATGTACTTTTTTTGGTGTGGAGTTCTAATTTCTGTGGTTAGACTGTGTTGAAAGGTTTCATACTGAGCCATGAACTCTGTATTTGAGATGGTACAGGACCTGATATGTATTAGAAGTAGTCATGTACATGCATGTTTGTCAGGGGGTGGTGATGAGGATATCATTGCTATGAATGCTATATTTGAAATGCTAGGGAGTAGTTTGATCTCAGACAGATTGCTTCAGATTTTGTTTTGGAATTAGAATATAGAATAACTTCAAGCAGAACAGGTCTGCAGTATGCAGTGATTCATCTAAGGTGAAGTTTTCACATATTTAACAAGCAGAATTCCTGTTTGGCTCCAGCCTGTGTTTAAAGAAATGTATTTAGCACTTAGTGTTGAAACTCAGTAACCTAACTACTACTGTTCCGTGTGTGTGGACTTACCTGTTACAAAAAATAATGAATCTTTTGAAGGTTTAATGTGGCCTTTGGTTGAATTGTCATTTTAAGCTAGACTTCCGTGACTTTCTGTCTTTTGTGGTGACTGAAGTAGTTGGGGCGGGCAAGCTGTGTAGCTTCTTAGTATGAGCTTTGAAGTCTGATTGCTGATCTCAGCCTTGTAACTGTTTCAGAAAGATATCTGTAAATTACCTGTTAGCTTGACCATTTGTTCAGTGTTAAGAAGCTGCTGTGAAGTAAGAAGGGTGTTATTTGACAATGTTCAAAACTAAGTGTTACAGTGAAAAGTGTATATTTATCACCATTGCTTTGCAGGCAAGATCCTTCTGACTGACTGGAAGTGCGGTGAGATAATTTTCCTCAGTTTTTTAATTAATAGGATAAAATGTTTAGCTGAGGCTTCTTTCACACTGTGCTGGTTCTAGAGGTAAAGGCTAGAAAGATAACTCAATTTTAAAGGACAAATCCTCCCCCACTTCTCTTCAAACAAGCCAGCCAATTAACTTTATAATTAAATTTGAGCAAAAAATTGCGGATTCAGCAGAGCAATTATAGGTATGCAGATACATCCTGTCAAAACATTGCTTCTCATTACCAATCTTGGAATAGTTGTTCCTGTCTGTTGTAAAGTTGGTTTCTTAATGACTTTTAGGAGTATGTAACTTGTCAGTCTTGGAAAAAGAGTAAAAAAAATCATATAGTAGATCCTGCATGGAGAATACACATTGATGCCTAAGCATATGTGGGTCAAAAATACAATGCCAATTAAAAAACTGAGGGTGTGGGCAGGTGTCATGGAAGATCAGGGAAGAAATAAGGCCTGTAAGCTTGATGTCTATACCGGACAAAGAAGTAGAAACTATAATGAAGCATACAGTAGTTGATATCTGGGTAAACATGATATACTTGGGAAGAACTGCATGTCTTTTGAAAAGGGAGGTTATGCCTCTCCAACAAAGGGATCAAAAATAATTTGAGTAAGAACTGTATGGTATTTCCTGCTAAGACTTCAGGAAAGCCTTTGTCAAAGTTTTGAACAAAAACACTCTTGAAGAAGCAGATGTACTAAATGTGATTAATTTTAGTATTATCGTAAGGTCTTAGAAGATTGGGTGACTGAGAGATAAAACAGCACATACATTTCTGTGAATGTAGAGTAATGTACGTGGAGCAGGCATTTGTGACTGCATATGTAAAATTGTAGCCTCTGATCTAAGTGTATTTCCATGAACATAGATGCATAGGAAACTATGAGTAGCACAGAAGCAAAGTGGTTTGGCTGTTCAGCATCTCTCTTAATATGAGCCCTAGGGAGTGCAAGTCTTCTAAACCAACATAAGTTGGTTCAAAACAAACAAAAAGTGGTGTTTTTTCTTGCAGTGTAGTTGGGTTGTATGTGAAACACTGCTGGGGGGTGGCACAGCTTGTAGAGGTTTACATGGTCTTAGTGGGGAGAGAGACAAGCTCATGGTGGAGAGATTGAAAATCACTAAATACGCAGGAATCGCACTTGAATCACATCCATGTCAGGGAGACTCTGAACTTGAAAATGGGTAGTCTCTGAGAGAACAGTGGTGGAAAGTATAATATGTGATTGCCCTGTTTCTCACCTTCCCTGAGCACATGCTGTTGGCAGTTGTCAGTCAGGACACTACAGCTCTAGTGAGACCATTCTTAGGTTGTTATATAAAACGGATGCATTTCTTCCTCAGGATTTCGGTGCTCTGACTCAGGAGGTTGGTTCATTCTTCTTGTATCAATAAGGATTCATTTCCTAAAGGAGTGTTTAGTGTTTTCAGGGTTTATGTTCCAGCTAGAAGTAAACAGAAATAGGACAGAGTCTGCAATCCTGAAAGAAGCCTTTGGTTCTCCCCCACAGGCCTTCAAATTTTTTCACAGTGCTCAGAAGAAATCTTGGTCTTTAGTTTTCAGAATGGGGTATGTTTCACTCCTGTTATCAGTTCCACCCAAAAGTAAGGCTTCTGTTTATGACTGGGAGGAAATACTTAGTACTCATGAAGACCAAAGCAGACTAAATGTACCTTTTGGACACAAAATATAGAGTGCTTTTTGATTGAGACTGCTAGTCCTGTACAAAAGAGAATAAGTTCTCTACCTTGCAGATGATTTGCCTCTTTTTTATTTTTTCTTTAAAGAAGTGCTGTGTAAAAGGATGGTTTGGAGCCATATATTTAAACAAGTTGAGGTTGTTTTCTGAAGTCAGTTAGACTGGGTCTAGACCCAATAGCTCATGACATCTCAAAAGTATGACCTACTACTTAAAAATAAATTGATTATTTGATAAAATATTACTTAATCAATCACTGTAAACACTCAGTAATGTTGCTGGGAATATTGATGCAAGTCAATAAATTGGAAGCCACGCCACACGGAGACTGAATACAAAATTTTAGGATTTATGTGATTGACAGGGGACACTCAGGAAATGGTTGAAGACTGTAGTCATGCTAAAATACTGAAGAACAACCATTAAGATGAATCTTCTGTTCCATAAAGCTCAATCAAAACTGTTTCCCATAGCAATTTAGGTGTGCCCTCTGTTCCTTTGTACCTGCTGTAGCAGCTGTTTCATAAATTACATTTTCACTGTGCAGAAATTTGTCACAAACAGAAGCATTCCCCATAGTTCTTTGAATTAGGCAGTAAATACTTAGCAGTAGTAATTGTCTTTGGCCAAATTTGAAAGAGAGAGAGCACAAGTAATGTCTTTGTTAAAACTATATTTTGCCCAATTATTCCTGAAATGTATTTTAGTCATAAAAGTTACAGAATTTAATTCTCTGTTCTCTGTCAAGTTTAAGTACAAGAGAATTGCAGGAAAAATTAACTGAAAAAGAAATTTCAGCGCTATCCAGATTTATTGTAATTCTCACATTCAGTGCACACAGGCAATTGACTATATACTAAAATAGAAAAGATTATATCTATAATGGACTGCAAATTTTTCAAAATATATTTAATACATGATCTGTATATAAATGTATTTATAAATGTTAATCTGAAAAGCTTGAATGCTTTATTGAGCATCATTTTGTATATTTTGTTGTCTTACTTAATATCTGTTAGTATGTGTGGCATGAGATCTGGAGTGTTTTTAACACCATATTGCACGATGGCACATTTTTAGTTTGGGAATGTAGCATGGGAAAGGAGCAAGATAAATTTTATTATTTTAAGAATTTAAAGATGAGGTAATTGGGATGTTAAGATATTTCTGGTGAATGGGAAAGAGCCAGACAAATGAGAGGGGGGAATAGCAAGATGGTGGCAACTAAATGAATATTTCTATTGACTGCTGAAAGATTTTCTTGGGTTTGCTTAAACAATACCTTTCTAAATCTGATTTTGGAAAGGTGTACAAACAACCAGCTTTTCAGATGTCTGCAGGTGTTACAGCACAGAAATCATATGTAGGGGAAATAGGGTGTGAAGATGATGTGTTTCTTACATTAGATAACAGACAATTCATCATCTGCTTCTGTCACTTTAGATCTAGAACTGTTAGGTTTATTGTCAGTAAATTTTGCGTTTTGCAGATAGTTAACACAGCAGATAGTGCAATGTGATGATAATGATCACTGTTACGAAAAGATATTGGACATTCTTGGGGTTACTTTTTTTTAGGTAAAATTGCATAAATTTTCTCATTGTGGATTAATAAGTATCTAACAACTAAAAATTCACATTCCGTGCATCTCCAAATTGTTGTTTTCCTCTATTCATCGTAATTCTGATTTTCTCCACTGCCATGAGAGATACTCTAGTGAGGGAAAGGTTAGCAGGTTGACTCTCAGTAGTAGCTGGGGGTGAACAAAATTGCAGCTTAAGAAACTGAAGCAGGGGATAGAAAAGACCATGAGAGACTTAAGCTCTGATTTAAGAGAAAATTGCTCCTTGCAGCTTTTGGTTCAAGCATGTACCCTTTCTCTTAAGCAACAGATGTTCCAGTATTTATGTTCCTGTATGTCATGATGTTCTTTAACCTTTAGGTAACTTAAATTCCCTTAGTAGGAAATAACATGTTTCTGGTGAGCCTTTCTGATAGTTGGCAGTATGGTGACTGCTGCCTTTTACATTTTGTGTCAGCCAGAAGCATGGATAACAAATAAATAATTCATATAAATGTTCAAAAACGTTGAGATTACCTTAAATGTATCTTTGATGTATGTCCTATCAGTGTTTTCATCTGTTACTCTGCTGTCTTGTTTTCTTTCTTGAAATTTGCCATTAACCAGAGAGAGGTAATGAAGTATGCTAATTTTTATTCCCATTCTCAGCTTTTTTTATTTTATGCAATGGCTTGGCTTTGGTGCTAAGTAGTTTTAAAACAGCAGCAAATAAAGCAGTGAAATACAACTACTTCCATGGTAATGGAATTCATAGCTTCATAAGTACTGTAATTTTTTATAGACAGCTGATATAGTCTGAATTGTTACTTTTAAAACCCATGAAAACCAATAAGCATAATTAAACTGCTTTTTAAATTTTCTTCAGAAATACAAGCCTGGTCGATGTGATGATATTTTGAAGTGGAAGCCACCCAGCTTGAACTCAGTTGATTTTCGCCTAAAAATAACAAGAATTGGTGGAGAGGGGTATGTAATCTCTTCCCTTTTTACATGTATAACACTCATGTGAATGTCCCTGAGCAGTTAATCTCTCCTCTGGTATTTCCTGACATTTCCTGCTGCTAAACTTTTCTATATCCTGGAGCATTTGTTCCTTGAAAATATAGACAACTATTGTCATCAGTGCTGTACTAAAAACAATGGCAGATGTTTATAATGTAAATATACTCATTCTTAAATTTTATAAAATTTAAAAAAAAGTCCTGTTTGGATTTGGCAATACCTCTTATATTTTTGGATAGTACACAGGCTTATTAGAGTAAGTTCTTATAATAACTATTTTCAATTGGTTTTATGCAACATAATAAGCTTTCTTCCATTTTAGAATTACTCACAAAAGTGACAGGCACTTGTTTTCTGAAAGAAAAAACTTGAATTTTTTTTCTCAATATTTATTCTTTGGTATTGTCTTGAAAACCACTAAAATCTTAATCAAAACCATGAATTCTAGCTTCAGAAGACACATAAATCTTTACATCAGTTGTGCATACTATGTCTAGTTCAGTCACTGCACATATTTAATAGGAGCAATTTCCATGTTCAGTTGTGACAGGGAGGGGAAGACTGAGTCACTAGATTAAAGCTTGCCTTGGAAAAGATTTTGTTTAAAATTAAGTTAATTGATTTTTAGGTTGCTTAATGTTTTAACATCTGGGACTCATTTCAGCTGACAGTTTGAAATACTGACATTTAGCTTTTGGTTTTCTTGGTGCCACAGGCAACTTAATAAGATTAAACAATTAATTTCTATATTGCTTATGTATTCCAGAGGGCTAATAATGGGCTATCTAACTTCTAGAAATTTGCATATCAAGTTTGTGAATATATTTGATGAATAGAGAGTATCTTAAGGATATGGGGCTTATTCTGGAAAATGTAAACTTCTAACTTCAGAGTAATTCATGAGGTCAGAATTATCTAGTAAAATTTTTATGTTTGAAAATGCAATATGAAGTCCTCAGTAACAACATAGCTATTTTAGAACATATATAGGCATATTTTAACTTAAACTTAAGAGAATCAGCTCATTACAATAATTTCATGTTTGCTTGGCTTTTATTTAACAAAAACAAAATATTTCTGTTAAAAAATAAATGAAAAATTAACCATTATTTGGTGGGAAGGTTATTTTTATTGTGGTGTTCTTTTGCTGGAGCTTATAAACAGAGTAGTAGCCTGTGATTTGGAAACAAAACACAATAGATTTTTCATTTCACATTAAAAAGGAATATTCACTTGATTAGTTAACACTGATTTCAGCTACAAATTACCAGTGCTATTGTGTTATATTTAGTGTATATAGAACCATAGAGTGATTGGAATGTGAAAACCTTATAAAATATTAGCACAAAATATTTCTGAAAGGCTGAGCAGCTAGTAGAAAGTTATTAAAGAATGGCTATTCCATTGTGGAATTTGAAACACTTTCTAGCATTTTAAAAAGTTCTACCGTATTTTATCTATGTGAAAATAAGTGCATTGCTCACATGGTGGAAACAATTATCCTGATTAGTGTAAATACTGTAACATTTAAATATATTAAAGTTTACGTTCATCTCACATGCCTTAGAGAAAAATAATTATAGAAACCTGTCATCTGATAAATAAGGTACAATTCTTCCAGATAGGTTTTACTTTTTCTCACGTGACTGTTGACCGATATTAGCAACTTAAGTGCATTCATCCAACAAAAAAGAAAAGTTAATGAAATAGTGAGTGGAAAAAAATTATTTTCCATTGTTGGTAGAGAAGTATTTATGTTAAGTAATGACCTATGAAACAGTAGCTTCTGCACAGTTAAACACAAACAATGAATGAAGTACTCTAGATTTAACTGCTCCAGTAGTTAATTTGAGTATCCAATTTATCGCTTCGTAAGATCGGAACTCATTTGAGGAAATACCAGAATTACACTGATTTTTAAGTTTTTGACAAGTTTTAAAAGAAGCGGCATGAATTTTAGACTGTGGAAAGGTAGTTTCTGAGTTCTGAGCACTATTATGATAAAGTGTTTGATTTCTGATATAACTAAGAATTCTGTTTCAATGAACTGAATGTCTTGCTAATGGCAATTCTAACATGGTGAGGTTGGGCTTCCTGTCTCCCCCCACCCCACTGAGATGAAAAGCAAGCATTGGTACTGGTTTCAGCCTTTTAGGTTAAAAAAGTTTCCTTCTTCTTCAGTAATCCAAAAAGAAATCTGGCATGCATTTGACAGCAAAGTAATACAGATATGGATGAAGTAGTGTTACAAAATGTGTGTGTTGTTTTCTTACAGTTAAGCAATAATACTTGTGGAAACAGAAGGTATGTCTTTGTATTGATCTCTTACTGACAAATGAGGAGCCAAAGCTGAATTATTGATCTCAAGTACTTGACAACTTGAAACAATGAGAATGGGGATTTTCTGTTATTTCCAAGTCCTCTGATAGGTTTTACAGGTTAATCTTTAAATCTCAAAATGCAGACATACTTCAACTTGCGCTACAAGTGTGTGTGATCTTACCAGAGCTCACAGCATAGCTGGTACTGATACAGGCTGAACCCGTATCACAAGACTCTAACCATGCATTGCTTGTATTTATAGTTCCCTGTTCACTTAAACATGAAAAAAAACCCTAACCCATACAGGAGCATTATTTATTCAGTAGTATGAGATTAGAGCACTGTCAGCTTTTGGACATGTCTTTTGGATGGCATGTGTAATTGAGATCTTGAACAATTGTAAACAGTCCTGTGCATTTTTCAAATGAATAAAGGAGTTACCTCTAGGGAGTTTGCTAGATTTTAGTCAGTCTGATTATTTTCCATCTACCTAAAATTCCCCTGTGCTTTCCGTTGTGCATTTTCAGCCCTAGATCAGTCTGCAGTAGTAATGTTAATTGCAAAATGGTTGCAGCATTTTATCCCAGGTGTAGATCAGTTATGGATGGCAGACCAATTGTTTTTATCTAGGGTTGATTTATTTCACTATTGATATCAGAGGGAGTTTTGCCATTGAATTAAAAAGAAGGATTTGGCTTATGATTTGTGGAATACTTTTAGAATAGGCTTCCCTATAAAAACTGCTTTAAAAAGAATAATCATAAAGAAAAAGATACTTTTGCATCCCAAAGAATCGTAGGGGTTTAGTAACCTCAGTGACCTAATCCTGACCCTCCTGTTCAGTGCACAGTATTTGAAAGAAATTGCATTATTGCACCTTAGAGAATTACAGCATATCAGCTGAGCCATGGTAATTTTCCCCTGAGTATTGTCATAGTCCAGCCTGTCCAAGCATCCAAATGATAGTTCGATTAACTCTATGTTGTGTTTGCAAGAATTCCAGCATATGTCCTCTCTCATTCTCTTCTCATCAGATCAGTATAGTTACTTCTATTTAGAAAAGGCAAACCAAAAAAAAAAACCAAACACAACACACAATCCAAAAACATCAACCAACAGCTTATTAAATCACTTAAAGAGAGTACTTAATTGTTTAGCTGTGGTGAAACACAGCAGTTGAATTGAAAGGCCCTCACATTATTTATGCCTTAAAAAGGTAGACCCACTTCCCAGCACTTCTCTTATAATTTCACATTTACTAAGAGAATGGTTTCACCTCAAAAACATGAAATGGAGCCCTTTAATCATGTAACAGTACCTTGTATTTTTCCTAAATGATGGTGATACTAATAGAAAATAAAAGTAAAAGAGAACAAAACAGACTCAAATACATGAGCTGCATTTCCAAATTATCTACAAATTAAAAGCCCTTAACAGAAGATAATACAGAGGATATTTAGTTGTTGTGTGCAATATCTCAGTTCTATTGCAGAGAAGACTGTTTTTAATTTAAAGAGTAGAGATACTTTTTCCCAAAATGTCTGACTCTTAAGAATATTTCTGTAAAAATAAAAACCCTAAACCCAACTCTGAGCCTTATTTAAATGTCACAAATATCAACCAAAAATGTCTCCATAGTGCCAGCTTTGTGGTATCTTCCAAAACTAGAATTTCTTAAATGTCCATACTTCCTTTTACAATTTTTTAATTACCCTGTAAAAGTCCCGTGATTTTATCTGAATCAGACATGCTGAAATCAAATTACAAGCAAGGCTTTGGTTTTATTGGCTTTGAATGAATATCTTACTGAGTCAATATTATTTCAAATCACAGAATAATATAAATGTAATATAAAACCATAAGATATTGGAAAGAATCAAGAATTTTACTTATGTTCTAAGAGAGAAATAGTAATAAAGGCTTGTTTCTTTAAAAAAAGTTAGCAATCTAAAGTAGATACGAACTCTTTGTTAGGAGCAAGTCTGTGTTGTTTTTTTATCATATCCATGATTAAGTAGACCACATGGAGAAAAAAACCAAACAAGCAGTGTTTAGGCAGAGTTCTGTTTAGCTTGGCCATTGTCAAGTAATAAAAATGGGAGATAATTTACAATACATTGAAGGACAGTGGGGGTGTCAAATCTCGGGTACATAAGTAATTACCAATCAACCAACAGCTACAGATATCACAACAAAGTGAATGTTTTCCTGTTGTTGGATGGATGTGATGTCCTTTTTGTTTTATAAATAAGAAAGAGCTTCTGGGAGAATAGGGGAAGCTGCAACTGGTTCAAAATAACCGGGGTGTTCTTCCTTTGCTCTCATATATAGCTATGTTGTCTGTCACAGGCTTGCTTATTCTTTTTATAAGCTACTCTTTTTGTAAAGTAATCTTCCTCACTCTTCTGCATTGAAAAAAAAAAAAAGGGTAACTGGCTGGGAAGTCATGGAAGTTAATTGAATCAGCTAAGAAACACAACTGACATGAGTTTGTTTGGCCCATGTTTCGTTGCTCCTTCCTCTCTTTCCATTCCACATTTGTGTGATTCCTAAATACCAGTTTATGTGAGCTCTTTGCCGTCTCACCTGTTTGCCCAGTGCCCATTGACAGAGAGCACAAGCTTGTTCTTACTCATGCTGTT